GGTGGGTTTGCCAGGTGATTTAGTATGCTTACGAGCATTTTGATGATCTGGCTCGGGCGAGAGTGAAAGCGCGGTCTCACGAGGTCAGGGCCCTTGCTTCATCGTGGGCCCTTCTCTCAATGAGTCCTCCTTTCAGGAGGTCATGTCTGCAGTATTCTGGCAGGGCAGGGATACCTTAACAGATTTTTATCTGTGATCCCTAGCTTCCCACTCAGAAGGCCTGTATTCATTGGGACCTTTGGTGGTGGCATAGTCAGTGGCTGGGCCTCCTCGTTAGCCCCGGGCCATGTCTTTCCGTACGGCGGCATGTGGGTACACCTGCTCTTTCACAGAGAGGTCCCTTCCTTCACTTTAGCACTCTGTTCTCCCTCCCTACTACTTTGGTTGTGCTGAAGGGGCTGCCTGGCTTCTAGTCACCACTACGGTAAGACGAATTCGCATACTAAAGTTATGGTAATTATTACTGAAATGAAATTGAGGTTTTTTAATGTAAAACCAATTTTCATGATGTAATACTTACCATAACTTTATGGAGTCCCACCCTATCCTCCCCTCTTCCTTATCTGCCTGGCTGCCCCTCTGTGGGGTTTACGCCATAAAGGTTATTAGAGGAAGGGAGATCACTCTGCGTTCCTGCCGTGATGGCTCATGGATCGTAGGGAGGGCGGGATTGTTTTTCTTTTGAATCTTTTGTTGTTGGGATACAAAGATGGGTGTAGGTACTGTATTTGCATACTAAAGTTATGGTAAGTATTACATCATGAAAATTGGTTTTACATTAAAAAACCTCAAGTTTGTTTGTTGACGTGTTGAATGAGGATCATGTCATCCAGCCTGTGGCGCCAGGCTAGCTATAGCTGGTAACCTCTGGGTATATTGTATGTGCGTTCCCTGCACTACATCTAGGTGTCAATAGGAACAACTGGGTACAGAGACATGGCCAATCCATGTAACTCATTTAATGCTGTCAAAACCTGAAAATCTCCTATTGGTTGTTACATGTGTATATTATCAGTTGGTGGGCAGACATCAGTCACTATAATCTTTGATCAGTAAAACCACCAACTGCACCGGTGCATACACTACATGTATGTGGTTACCTTGTCAATGGGCAGACAATGACCTCTGTGACCTCACCGATAGTATGAAAGTGAAACATTCCTGTTTCACCCCCATGTTTTTCATTACAGGTCTCACCGTATCAAATAAACCATGTGTATTTTTTATCAAAGGTCAAAGGTCCGGCAAGTGTTCCCCAAAGCCTGAGACATAGAAGAGATAAAATGGGGGAAGTAGTAGTGAGCTGACTCGGGTACCCTGTATTTATTGATCTGTACACATTGATTTATTGTAGCACCCGAAGGTGGTAAGCAATATGGAGTTTAGTTCCTTTACTTCAATAAAAGTCAATATGCACATTCAAGATTTAACTTAACATGGGGGTTTGTGTGTCTCAGGAAGCTGAGAAACATATCAGTCTGTGCTCATAGGGTTGTGTCCTTGGGCAAGACAATGCTTTAGCATGTTTGCTCTTGGATGTCATACTAGGGATCTCCCATATGTTCTTCAGTGAAGTAGCCACTAGCAACTACAAAAAGATTCTGCCTAAAAATGACACTGGCTGTTCACATGGTAATAATAACCCCAACAAATATCTGCAACCTTATTGTTACAGGCATTAGAATAAGATACATAGTAGCATAGAAGTTTCATAACATTTAAAAAAGTCCTAAAAATGTGAAGTATAACATCTCTATGTTGTAAAATACTGTGCTAAATTGATTCAATAATATGTTGATATTTTTTGCTTATTCAACATCAAAAGATAAATCCTACAATTTATGATTTTATTGAATGGAACATTGATACTACATAAGAGATGTATTGCCGATCTTCAATATATCTTTCTATCACAACCAACATCATAACTCAGGACTTTTTTTCACTTGTTTGGGAAGGGGCACTTTGGGAAGAAAACAGTTTATTTGGGAAAGAAATTTTCAGTATATCACCAAATTTAGGGATTTGGCTGCGGTATAAAATAATTTCATTGTAACATTTCTATTTGACTACTAGTACTAGCAACCATAAATATTCACATCATGCAGATATCTTGTGGCCTGGCAAACTGATATTTCAACAATGCAGATAAAAAGGTCGATCAAATTAGAGAATCCCTTACAAGAGCCCCTGTCTTCCATTTTCCCACCAGCTGCAAAGTACCCTTCGCAAAACTCAACTGATTCAACTTACATTAAAAACTCTCAGTTGCACATACATTCATGTTCTTACTCTTTTTTTGTGCGTGGGCAATATTCGTTCAAACCATTTAAGTCAGGCCCTTAAGGTAGTTATCTGGTCAAATATTATACAAGGAGGTCCAGTTTACTATATAAGCCTTACCATGTACAACAGCCATTAAAATATCAGTATTAATGGATATATATACATGTATTAAATCTCTCTTCTCCCTGGGATGGGGTTGATAGCTCAGGTTAGAGGAGGGAGCTGGTCACCTCTTATGGGTTCAAGGCCTCCTCCCTGGGATGGAATTAATAGTTAAGATTAGGGGAGGGAGGGGGTCACCTCTTGTAGGTTCAAGGCCTCCTCCCTGGGATGGAATTAATAGTTCAGATTAGGGGAGGGAGGGGGTCACCTCTTAAAAGTTCAAGACCCAACCAATCCCCTGGATGTTGATTGCCACTTCATTATTATATATATGATATGTATGGGGATACATGAATATTAATGATATCATAATTGATGTCAAATATGATATCAGCATTATAATATATATAGAGCTATGGCTCTTGATTAACAAAACCACATGGGGAGTGTTTGCATTTTAATGTACTTAACACAATGTTATACAATGATATTTTATTAATATATAACAACAAATTTGAAATTCTCCTCTAACTTACTATTGAAAAATAACAGTTGATCCCTTGACCCAGAGATAACAAGGATAATGTCACAGTATAAATCATCATTTTTTTTTTGTGGTACACATTGACAGTTACAGAATAATTTACTGTGCTAATTTACAACTGAATAGTGCTATGTACATTTATCTCCTGATAATTAGGGTAGCCCTGATGTTTTTTTTTTAACTCAGAGTCATCCTGGACTCATGACCATGATTGTCCTGTGATGAAACTCCCTCAATTTTTTAGAACCCTCTTCATCTCTCAGTAGTGGGACTTTTGGAAATGGTGTTTTGAACTTCTCTGAAAAAATCTTCAAAACATTACTGGGGTAATATATTGCAAATAACATATACATTTTCAAATCTTTCACAGAGGAAACAAATCACATGGAAATACTTGATAACCCATCTTTCAATGTTTTCAGTTTTGCAATTGTTGGCACCAAACATCAGAACAGTAATATTTGCATATAGTTCAGTTTTTATATAAATCTAATGATTTTATGTTATTTTCTCAATAAATGATGATATTTTAGTGTCCTTCATGATAATTAATTGTACAAAACAAACAGCAATTTATAGTGAAGAAATTAAAGCAGGCCTTGTCCCTAATGAATAAATCCATATGTGCCGCTGCAGATGTCATTCCTCCAAACTCCATGTATACCAGATATTATAAAACACCAATCAATGGAGGACATTGTTCTTGTATTGCTATATTTGAATCTGATACATCAATATTTCATACAATGAGTGTTCAGTTACACTACATTTAATACAACCCTTATCAAGAAGACATGTCTATACTGTAACACACACTAGTGTACTAATGTATATATAAATGTGCTTGCAATTTTATTATTACCATACATATAAATACTGTATGCCACATTTTACTTCATGTGTTAAGGGGACCAAATTGCATTCTATTTGTATGGAAATCACAAAAGAAGAGGAAATTTCACTTGTGAAAAAAAAAATCATTCTTGAAAAAAATAAGCATGTGGGAAAGCAATTTCTACCGTCAAATTCCCTTTCAATTTTTTTTTCATGTCATGTAGTATGAGCAGGAGACAGACTGGGGTTGACTGGCAGTCTTGCTGGTGTAAGTATAGCCAGATCCTATCACAGGATGTATCATTACACGGACGCTGCTTTTACCAGTCTCCCAGCCACATCTTAAAACTAGGAACTGCAGCAACATTAAAGGGTTGGCTTTGCTATGATGAGGAATCTCTAATTAATGCATGATGCAGCAATACGATACAGGCAACTAAACAAGTATGATTCACGGCTTAGACTCATCAATTCTTTTTTCTTTAAGAGCTATATTATGTAAGTAAATGTATTCCTGTTGGTTTCAGTTGGTTTATGTTACTAGTTAGGTATTGTCATCAATCCACTTACATGGTACAGATTTAAACTGCATTTATATGGATAAATAGCAAAAGTACACAGTTACTTTTATATACTTAGTGTTCATACACCTCTACCGATACAGAATATTATATACAGAGATATAATACACCTGTACAAATAAACATATCATTATTAAATAATACTGGTGTATATGTGTAGATTATTAAATCAAAGTCATAATTATACCTAGCAATATTACATTACACAAAAGATGTCAAAAATTAAGCATTGATTCAGACAAGCAATATTGTCTTAATGAATGAATTAATCCACAAACGAAACATTGTTAATGCTTTAAAATGTTTATAAATGCCTATTTAGGTCTTATGGTGGGAGAAAAAGAAAAAAAATGTTTATAATTATACACACAAATGTCATATACATATGTCTACAACATATTTATTAAAGTGTGTTTTGCATTTCACAGGGACTATACTAGGTGACAAAATCCCAATAGTTTGTCAGTTCCATGTTAGCCTTCATTGTGACTTAGACTTCAAGCTGACATGGGTCACCCAGGTGTTAATGATGTATTAATGAACACCAAACTATGTACATTTGTACATCTTATAGGTAGGTTATTGATACCTAGCCAAAGGTAGGTGTTTCTCTTGATTGAGTATTGAGAATGTGTCCATCAACTCAGTTATAATTATTGGTGATCACACGGCCACAATACTAGATTAACTAGGCTTGTGACATTGTGACATAATGATGACAGGTCCATTGTAGCTGTTTTCTTTTGATGCATTCTTACCTTGTGTGACTTGGACATGGCCCCTAGGGCTTGAACCTCATGATTCACATGACGACCCTCTTGATGACAGACATAGCAGACAGGAGTTTTACAAACTAAACAGTACATACTAAGATGCTCTTCACCATGTTCCCGACATTTTGCCTCTTTCCCTTTATTTTTGGCACGAATTATTGCTTTCCCCTGTACTGGGTCCACCAGGTTGTGTTTAGCTAGAGACCCCCGAGACGGGTGACATCTATTTTTGCAGTTTTCACAATAAAATACTTCACATTGTTCACACATGACTGAAGCAGCTTTGTTTTCTTGGTCACACAATTCACATTTAATGAAAACATTGACTTTTTTATTATGGTCACCACAATACTTATCAACAATAATTTCCAAAACTTTATTTTTTGGTAGTGAATGATAACCATTTTCATCCAAGAAAACGTTTTTCTTACAGACCGGACACTTAATTCCGTAAACACTTCCATGGACTGCTTGAAATATGTTGGATATGCTGGCTGTTCCAACATAACTATTAGGTCTACTGTTACAGACAACACCGCTGTCCGTTTCACTAACAAGGCTAACTTTGTCGATGTCGGGAAAGTCTTTCGTTTCCGAATCAGCTATGACAGGTGTAGCAGGATCTTCAATTTGGGAAATAAAATTCTGTGACGGTTCCTGAATCTTTTCAGCACATCCTGAACACAAAGAATGTGAGCACGGAAGCACGAGAGGGTCACAGAAAAATCCAGAACACCGAGGACATTTTAATTCCTCCTCCATCCTGACACACCTGTCTTGTGTATGTTTTGAAGGAAGCGCTCTAGCTAGCATGCTCATTGAATATGCAAATTACACAAACGAGAAATCGCGAGAGCTCTATAAATGATAAGAAAAGTTTACGCACCTCGAACTGATCGGTTCGCAACCGATCAAGTATACACACTTGTATTATTCAGGGTTATCAATGGCAGCTTCCACAAAAGTCGGAGTCCTAACGGACAGGATACTTTTTGTGGGCAAACGATGGAATCATCGATGCTTAAGAAGTTTAGCATGTTCGCAACAAAAGAGAAACATACAAAGGTTGTTTATAAATAGTTTTATATTCTTAGAATTGACTGCCACCTCAAAATTTACTGGAGTGGATATGTAATCTTTATCGGTCAGTGGCGTTAGGTAACAGCTGTGTACAGGTGTAAACTTAGACGGATACAAATATTGTTTCATCTCAAGTTTCCTCGTACAAACAGTTGCCAATCGACTCTTTCGCATCAGCAGTTTTAAAGTATTATCATTAAAACATGGACATTTCTAAATTAACCGTTCAGGATATTTAATCATCATGTGTGCATGAATAACGGTACTTTCACTTTGCTAGGTGTTTGCGTAAGAGACGCATGTACCTGGGTATAACATACTAAGTGAAACTATTGACGTTGAATATTTAGTTGAACTGTTAATTTAAACGTAGCAAAGCATTTCATTGCAATCAGTACAAACGATGTGATTAGCACAAAATCTGTGTAGTGAAATTAAACTTTATGAAGGTATCCAGAGTTATTTCCCTTCTTGTGCTGAAGTATAGTTGCTTTGAAATTTTACAAGACCTGATAAAAATTAAAATAACACAAAAGATATGCATGGAATCATTCTTTCTTTAAAATTTAAAGAAACTTAAAAATGACCTTGACTTGTCTTCAAGATTACAAGGGTCAGATTTGTTAAAACCTTTACATGACTTCTTCTCATAAACTAAAAGGCAAAGAGGCGTAATATTCGACTGGTATGTTGCTACAATGAAGCTTGACAAAGTTTGCAAAAAAAATGACCTTGACTTATATTTGTCACAGACATCAAATTTGTTAAAACCATTAAACAATTTCTTCTCATGAACTAAAAGGCCTAGAGGCATGATACTTGGCTAGTAAGTTAATAGGATGAAGTCAGAAAAAAGTTTGTAAAAAGAAATGACCTGGACCTTTATTTGAGGTCATAGGGGTCAAATTTGTGAAAACAGTAAAAAAACTTCCTCTGATTTACATAAGGCATAAAAGTATGGTATTCACCTGATAGGTTTCAAGAATAGAGTCCAACAAAGTTTGCAAAAAGAAATAACCTTGATCCTTATTCAAGGTCAAAGATGTCCAACTTGTAAAAATTGTGACATTACTACTTCTGTCTTACCAAAAGGTGCAGAATTTCTTCTGTCTTACCAAAAGGTGCAGAAGCATTGTATTTGACTGATAGGTTGTTAGGATGATGACTGACAATGTCTGTGAAAAGAAATGATCATGACCCATGTCAAGGTTATTGGGATCAGATTTTTTGAAACCTGTAAATGATTTCTTCTGGTAAGCCAAAAGTTTGAGAAGCATATTTTGAAAGGCGTTTCTAGGTAAAAGCCAAACAAAATTTGAGAAAAAAGAAAGAATTTATTTAAAATCCAGGTCCATAACTTTCAATGTTTAGAGAGTTGAATATTTGAAGCTCTGTGTTATGGAAATTGGTTAAAACCCACCTTAAATACCAATGGTGTAGTAGTCATTATATTTGTGATATTAACACTGATTCTATGTATGTTGAAGATTGAATACTAGGTGAGTGAGTCTGTGTTAACAGGAATTGAGAAAAATCCAAATTTTGACAGCAACTAGATCTTATGCACACTACTATATTCTGGAACATAAGCAAAAAAGATAACACTCTGGTATTTGTATTTACTTTGGCACAAGAAATATAACAACTTAGTTATGATAACGAGAGAAAATTCAGCTAATTTTTTAATTTGTATTACATGTAAGCTTTACAGAGTTACTTCCCCTGATTGGATTGTATCTAAGGACCAAGCAATCACATTGTTTTTATACAGTGTCCATTTTATATAGAACTAGTGATGCTGGACATCAGTATTAGTATACATGTATTTTAGTTACTGTGACAATTAATATTAATACCAACCATGATTTTTTTTAGATTCAGAAAAAAATTTAAAACAGCCAATTTTTTTTGAAAATTTGAACAGACCTGAATATTGAAATATTATAATTTGGTAGGAAATCTAAGGAAAAAAACATATATTCATGGATATATTGTAAGGTTCAGTGACTTTGAAGGAAACTAAAACATTGTTATGTGACATTTCACTTTGTAGTGACAGTCAGGGCAGCTATGATGTCATAGTTGTAGGCGGTGGAATTGTTGGATTGGCAACAGCCAGAGAACTTATTATGCGTCATCCAAGCCTATCATTTGCTGTTGTAGAAAAGGAAAAGGAAATTTGTAAGATGAACTGATGGACTTTTCTTACATCCCTGTAATTAAGGCATAGCATATTACCTCCCTTTTATTACCACCTCTAAATACTGTAGACTAATCACCAAATCATAAGTCATAATCATGAAATGAACGAAAAAGGAAAAATTTTTGGATATGATAACATGTCACAAACTTCACCTCAGTGACCTTTGTAAATGATGTAGTCTTCATATCAGTGCAGTGTCCTTGAAACATCTGGCACAGTACATGTCTATCTTCTTAGGTTTCATGTTACCAATTAAATCCAGATTGAAAACAGAAAGAACATAAAATATGTTATTTTTTGATTGTATGTTTTTTAATTAATGTAGATTGGTAATGAATTCATCAATGAGTATTGTTATGAGGATGTTTGATTATCAACTTAATTATTCACTTCTAACAATGTATTGTAATCAGCTCTTCATATTTACAACAGAGCCATGTAATTCACACATTGTTAAAGTAGACATCATTTACAATGGGTCAAATAGAGAATGAAGTATGTCAGTGTCACCAAATACATTGTAATACATATTTTCATGCATATAGGTGAACAGAATTTTCAGCAAAATTGTTGCACAGTATCAAAGAAAAGCTAATACATTGTACATTTGTATCATTTATCACACTTTGTATTGGGAAGATGTAGGTTTTTCTTTCCTGAAAACTAATTCTATATTGTTTTTAATGTAAAATGTGAACTAAATCACATGTTACACATTGTACAGCTATGCACCAGAGTGGACATAACAGTGGGGTTATCCATGCTGGGATCTACTACCAGCCTGGCTCTCTCAAGGCCAAGCTCTGTGTGGAGGGACTTGAACTCTTGTATAAGTATTGTGATGAAAACAACGTTCCCTACAAAAAATGTGGGAAGGTAATAAAAAAAGGGCAAGCTTTTATATGGGGAGTGGGGTTATTGTCATTTAAATACAAAAATGAAATTTGCAAATATGATGTGTAAAACAAGAAATTTTGATACGTATATTTAGGAAATATTGATCTTCAAATGCATTAAGATATAGTACTGGGCGCATACTGTGGCAGGAATAAAATACTACAAAATATTTGTAATGTCATCTTCACTAATCAAGAATTACAAGTCACCTGTTTCTCTTCGGTTTGTGTATCAAAATCCTTGGTTTATGTTATAGATGATGTGTACTGTAGTGATATAAACAATTTACAGTTGATAGTTGCGGTAAACGAAGAAGAAATACCTCGACTGGAGACATTGATGGAGAGAGGGATAGAAAATGGAGTGAAAGACTTGCATATGGTGGAAGCAGATGGGATAAAGGAAATAGAACCTAATTGTGTGGTAGGTTATGTACAGGATTGAGTAATAATTCCAACAATTTGGATTAATTTTCATTTTTTGGACAGTTTTGGTAGTTAGGAAAGTAAATACATTATATTTAGAAACAGATGAATTCAAGTAAAATAGATAAAACTACAATGTTTTTCACAGTCTAAGTACTATTACAGTGTTGTGCAGGTTGACATCATGTAAGCAGCATATAACAGTATGTTGAAAGAAAGTATTTTTTATTTTTTTTGCAGTGTTTATCACAATAGCAGTATATTGTGAGTACATTAACAGTATTTTGATGGAATATTAACAGTATGCAGTATATACAACATGATAACAGTATGATGTTGTGTTATAGGGACTAAAGGCTGTGTACTCCCCACATACAGGAATCATAGACTACAAGGTGGTAGCTCAGTCTTATGGCAAGGTTTTCCAGAATCGTGGTGGTAAGGTCTTCACAGGATTTGAGGTTAACAAATTTGATGTGACCAAGGAAAGTTCAAGTGAGACAACGGATGGTATAGAGTATCCTGTCACAATCAGAGCAAAGCAGGTAAACAGCTTTAGTTTTCTCTTTGAGGTAATCCTAACAACAATTTATAGATTTCATTCATTGAATATTTTTCTATCACTGCTAGGACACACAGTAAATAGCTTTGTTTTAATTATCTATTAGCAATCTGAATGCTGATACAATACCTCTTTTACTATATACATAGTTTCTTATGTAAAATGTGTTTAAAGATTAATTTTATCATAATTATGGTCTTACATTTTTGTCAAAATGTGCAAATACAGATCCTTATGTTATGTTTTCTGACCAGGGCCAGGAGCTGAAGTGTCGATATGCTATCACTTGTGGCGGCCTGTTTTCTGATAGAATAGCAGAGCTCTCAGGCTGTCACAGAGAACCCAGAATTGTTGGATTCAGGGGAGACTACTTACTTCTTAAACCAGAGAAAGCAAACTTGGTTCGTGGCAATATATACCCAGTAAGTAATGGGGCACAGGTTCATTGTGTTTAGAAATTCAAATGTCTTGACAAAATACTAAGTTTTCTATTTATAGTATGTATCTTGCAGCTGGATATGGCATTGAAGAATAATTTATTTTGTCCAATGAAAATACAGATGCCATTTTCGTAATAAGGTCATTTGAACAAAACTGTGTATCAAACTTTTTCGAAGGTTAGATATTAAAACTGTCTGGATTACAAAAGAAAGATATGAAATTGTTTCACACTGTTGATGTGCTTCTTCATTGTCTTTGACTTTAATCTCTATGGTTGTCGTTATGTTAGGTGCCTGACCCCAGATTCCCATTCCTTGGAGTTCACTACACTCCACGCATGAATGGAGATGTCTGGCTTGGTCCGAATGCTGTGTTAGCATTCAAAAGAGAAGGATACAAATTGCTGGACTTCAGTTTTAAAGACACTGTTGATGCTTTAAGCTTCAGGTAAGCATGTATCTACATGTAGATAAAAGCAGTACTTACATCAATGTATATTAAAACTAGCTTTAATATCTTGTGAAAACATTTGATTTAACAAGGATATTTTCAACAGTTTTACTATAGGCATTTAATGCAAACTTTGTCGACTGAACGTTGATTTTATCATATTCAAAACTTGAGAATCCATTTACTGTCGTAGTTTGACTCTAAATGTTTTATCAAAGATAACAAAAGTGTATCAAATGTCATACTATGACATCTCACTGTTTCTTAATTCTTCTTGTAAGAAAATATTTTCTTGTATAGTCAAGGCCATAGGTTGCCAAGTACTGACTTTTAATCTTAAACCCTAAAACATGAATGATGGGGAAAAGAATAAAATGTAACAGGATATGTAACTTTGACAAAGTAAACTGTATTATAATCTGTCATTTACAGCAGTATATGAAGGATGCTGAACACCAAAGTATCGTAATCAAAGTCTCTTAATTAAGAATAAAGAGTAATATATTCAGATGTCTGAGGGGAGGCAATTCAGATTTCACTGTGTGATTTTGAGGCTAAATGTAACACAGTTCAGCCTATTGCTACAAGCTCCTGGGGTAGATGTTACAACCAATTCTAACTCTCTTATTGGTCGAAAAATTCCAATGAGTTAACCACACTACCAGGTGACACTATTCAGATTAAGGTTTTCAAAGATCATGAACTGGGGTTGATTTGGTTTGTACATTAATTGTAGTTTATTATCCAAGATGGGACAATATGGCAGAAGGCACAGGATTATGAGGTTACTGATATCTATGTACTTAGAAGCCTATTTAAAATTGTCAACAAGTGACAATCAGAAACAGTAAGAGTTACACCAACTCCTCAAAAATATATTTAAAAACAATCAATATAGTTAGCGACATCAATGATATGATCATAATACACCTTTGAACTAAATTTTATGTTGATACAATGTATTTGTAAAATTGGTTCAGATATGAAGAGTTAATTTTCCTTTACTGCTGGCTACTCATGTGTACATGGTGTGCCTATCATGATCGTATATGGATTTAGGCCTATTGTATATGTTATATTGTTATATGTGTAATAACTATGAAGTGTACATTGTTCTATCATTTACCTATAGGCATATCAGTTTTAAATATTCAAGTGTTAATAAAGGTAAGTATGCATGTTCAAGAGGGTACGTGAGTAGAAACGGGACTACAGGAGAAAGCGGCAAATCAAAATGGTCGTGTAGGTCACTCACCATTTGAATCCTTCCGGAAGCAGGTGCATACATACCTGAGTTGTGATTTCCATGAAAGGGTTGGTGAGAGAAGTGGAAGAGACATGGTAAGGGTCTTAAGAGGAACTGAATGTGTTTGATCTACTGAAATCAAGTACTTTTTCAAGCCAAAACTGTCACGTCAAAATGGGGGTGCACATTATACACAGAAACGTGCCATTCTTGGGGTTATCATTCCCGAGTTCTGCATCCGCCATATTGGATTATCTCCCTTCACATAGTTATATGTAAGAGTCGTCGGTCATAAATGATAGTTTGGGGATAAAAACAACAAAAAATAAAAATTTTGAACGTTTAATCATCGGCCATACCCGCTAGCATTACGGTGAATCTATTTTTTTTTTTCGTTTCCCATCGTTCGAATAGTCACGGTCTTACTATTGGTCTGAGTTATAGTAGTGTCTGAAGGTAGATCGAAAGTAAGTGTTGTTTGGTCATGATTCCCAATACTTGATGAGTCAATTTTGTATGTCTGCCTCATTTTGATGATGTAACTCTGGAATTCAATGAGACTGTCTTTGCAGTCGTCCCAAAAGTTTTTGGGCGATTGTCGTTCTCCATCTCTGGGTGTTTCACTGTCGTTCCTCTGTCAGCCCTTCTGGTCAGGACTTTAGTCGTTCTTCTTTTTTCTTCCATGCCCTGATATTTGACTATGGAATGTTGGAAGTGGCGACCTGCGGCAAGAAGAAGTGTCTCGTCATAGTCAATGGTGTCCGGTTTTTCTTTCGCTGTAAACGATGTCCGCTGTTTCCCCATGTCGAAGTCAATGTAAACAATCTATAACTAAGTACCTTCGGATACCGTGGTAGGTACAGATATGGGGACAAGGTAGGATTGAAAATTTACAGACAGTTAAAACAACATCGTTTTCTGACCAATAGCACGCATTCAGCCCAAACCGGGTGTCATCAATCTCCTCATATTCAACGTGTTACGTTGAGAACCGTTAATTATCCAAGTCTTTCATGCTTGTTAAGTCAGGCACATAAGTGACTTTGTTTACATAAGGTAATTAAATGTGTTAGGGTCTCGCTCATTGTGGTTTCCTAATTATCAATGGATCAAACCACATCAACTGTTTCATCGCGGTAACCAGTAATGAATTAATCTTTCAGTAGAAAATGTGTTTTTTAAATATTTTTTATCTGACCCCAAAAAAGTACCTGTGCATTATACCCGAGTGCGCATTATACCACAAATTTATGGTAGATGTGTTGTGCACCACATGACAGCTGTGATACAAACCTACATGGAAAGTGACATTTAGCTTTTGAATGTATGAGAGTGTGATTGTAAGTGTGTGTACATAATTTTGAATTTCTTTCATATACATATAAATGTATATAACGTTGGTAAATAAACTTATAAATATTGTATTACATATCGTCCTGTGATCTCTCAGCTGTTGACCGATCGTCCAACGTTACAAAAATGGTGGCAGGGGTGGGATGATTGGTTGCTGTTGTAGATATGTAGGCTGATTGTTGTTATCTGTATAGTTAGAAGCTAAGATTAGCTTGTTAGTGTCCAATTCACTTTTACCAACGTTACATCCCCCCTTTCTGAAGAAAGTGGCTACACTTTTAGCTCACTCACGTCGCATTGATTAATCTGGATACTCACCCATGGTGATATCTGTGTTCTACTGAGATAATCAACCAATATTGTCCCTTCCTTGAAGTGCCTGAATTTGAAACCTATAGGATTGCAGAAGCAAGGCCCGTCTTATTAGGTGACTGTTGGCAGTCTTTGAGCATTGTAAGTAAGTGAGAGGCTGACGATCTGTTTCCATCACAAAATCTTTCCCATATAGATACTGTTGGAATGTCTGAAGTCTTCGGAACAGCTCTCGAAGAACAACCAGGTGATCTTCAAACGAATGCGTATAGATCAAAATGTCATCTACAAAACTATCACGTTTCTTAGCCCATTTAAGACTTTCCACATGAGTCTGCATATTGTTGCTGGTGCATTTACAAGGCCGAAAGGTATCATGTGAAACTGGAACAGTCCTACAGGCATGTTTTCTCCTTGGCTCCATCAGCCATCAGTACCTGCCAATATCCTTTGGTGAAGTCCAACATCAAAAAAATATCAGAAACCTCAGAGTCAAGAAAACATATCTTCTGTGTTTGGCATTGGTTCAGCATTGAAAACCGTTATTCAGTTGAGTTGGTGGAAATCTATGCAGAACCTATTGGTACCCTCCTTCTTTTTGACAATGACCACAGGTGCAGCATAAAGCGAATTAGCAGCTCGATAACCTGCATCTCTAGCATCTTGTCTATCTTGTTTTTGATAGTCTCCCTTGTGCTGAATGAAAGAGGGAATGGCTTCACCTGAACAGGATCTTGATGTGGTCAAGATATCATGCTCCACCAAATAGGTATCTCCTGGAATAATGGTCAATACATCACAAAATTCACCTAGCATATCTTTCATTTCCGTCTTCTCTTCTCCAGTCAACATCTCACCTATTGACACACCATCTATAGTTTCTTCCCCAGCAGTTGTGGAAGCACTTCCAGTTTGCTGTCTATCATGTAGTGTTCTGTCTCTGCATCGTCATCAATCACAGCAACTGCAATACGTCCCGATGTGACGTTATTGGTTCTTTGTCCACATGTAGTTTTCTTCTCTTCCTCCTTCGTCTCATAACATTTCTTCAGTAAGTTGATGTGTAATGTCTTCACTTTTCCGTCAACATCAACTTTGTAGTCAATTGGTGCTAGTTGTTCCTTAACTTTGTACAGTCCTCGCCATTGTAACGGTTTATTCTTCTTGGTAGGAAGTATTATCAATACCTGGCTGCCAACTTTCAGATTTCAAAGTTTTGCTCATCTATCCTAGTGCCTCTTCTGACGACTTCTTGACACTTGTAGACTTTTGTGACAAGACGACAGGTTTCCGTGAGCTTTTCCTTCAAGTCCACTACATATTGGTAAGTTGTCTTGATTTCATCATCTGGAAGCTTTTAATTCCAAAGTTCCTTGACGATCATCATTGGCCCACCCACAGTCCTTCCATACAGAAGCTCAAAGGTCAAAACTTTTTCACAAGCGTGTTACACATTAGATGATATGATGTGGTAGTTAAAGGGTGAAATGACAGAATCCTACTAACTTCCTTCATCACTTCCTAGGTGAATTGAGTCCCTTGATCAGTTAACATCTCCGAGGAAAAACCAACATGACTGAAAATATCGACTAATGCCTCTGCTACTCGCTCTGCTTCGATTCCAGGTAGTGGTACCGCTTCCGATTACATCTTGTTGCATAGTCAACAACTGTAGGGATATAACAATTCTTCCTATCAGTTGGAGGTTGAATAGGTCCTACTAAATGAACTAAATGAAATGAAAGGGGTGTCAATGGCATGGTTCCTAGAGGTGCTTTCACCACTCTTCCTTTTGGGAATGTACACTGGCGAATATCACAAGATCTGAAAATCTTGTAGTATCGGCTTGTACTCCTCACCAGAAAAACTCTTCAAGGACTCTGCATTGTATGGCGAATACCAAGGTGTCCTGCCATGATCGATTCATGGGCCATTTTTAGTACTCTCGAGCGAAAGGGTGTTGGTACTACTAATTGTCGGAACTCTCTACCAATGGCAACCTTCTGGCTTTGAAATTTCCGATAAAGAATCCCGTTTCACACGAAAATACGACAATGTTCTTCCATCACAAACTTCACCTGGCTCTGCTA